GTCTAGATTAATGTCTGGGAGACCCGACCTGCATGAATTTATGCCGACCAGAAAAATGTATTTTAATTGTTTTTAGAATTGTGAAATTTTTAGGTGGGTGATAGGAAATTCTTCTGTCGAAAATGATTAACCTAGTCGAGATTCATGTTTGGAAGACCCCACCTTCAAGAATTTTTGCCTTTCTACAAGATTACGTTCACGTTTACTGACTTGCAAAATAGTTCCCCTTGCCTCGACGCGCGTTTCGCTAATCAGTAGATGACTAAAACTTCGGGTTTTAGTCATCCCCTGGTGACTCCGAGTTTTACTCATCTTTTTATGATGCAAACTTGGTTAGCGAAAGGCAAGTTTTAGTCCTCTCCTAATAATACTAACTTGGTTAGCGAAACGCGCTTCGAGACAAGTGCTTTGTTTGGAATTATTTTACGCCAGAGGTTCCAATTCTACCTATTGATTTTAATATTATTCAACGTAAAAAACTGCCAAAAACGGCGAATCATCTGAAGATGTCCCATCACTCTTATCAGTACTGTTAAAATGAAAAGCTTATCTGACAACGCTCATCTACTGAAATGCATGAAAAACCGTAGTTGTCTTTAGACACTTGACAGTTTGTTTTCCGTGTTCTGCGATTCCGATATGGTTCCGTTATATTTTTGTTTTTGATGGTGTTATGGTAGCAAGCTATTGCAGGTAGGAAATTGATTAATTTCAAGTTTCAATATTCAAATCATAGTTGAAACGTATATTAATTTATAATTCTTACATTTAAAAATTAATATACGTTTCAACTATGATTTGAATATTGGGTCTGACCCCTCTGGACCTGTAGTTAAGGAGGTTGAGTTAATGGCCATGGTACGATTGCACACGGCTGGTGTAAACCTAGAATTAGGAATGGGTCGATTGAGGTTGGGCCTATGGCGGGAAGCGCTTACTGCGCAACCTCTGCTGCAGGCAACAAGTGATGCAATTGAACCCAGGTTTGTGTTTAATAAACCCTACAAAATACAAATTAAGCAGAANTATTATCACTGAATTTCAATGTAATAAGTTCATAAAATCCCATACTTTTATAGGGAGCCCATACTAAATTTTTCTAGATGATATTGATACTTTTAGTTGGTACAGCATATAAAAAGTAATCATCCACAAATCTGATAATAATCTCAATATTTAGAAATTTAGGTGTAACCAATAAAAATGTGTAGAATACAAAAATAACAATTGAGAAGCATCGACAGTGTGTCACACTTTTCATAAATCCATTCATATCTTAGTTACTGAAACTGCAATATTTTTCAAAATTTAAAACCTTTGAACTCTTTAACCAGGAAATGAAATAATTCATTGGAGTGTTTTTAGATAAGGGTTGTTTTTTTTGTGAAAAATATTGTGACACTATTAGAAATACTTGAGGAATATTTCAGGGTAGGAAACACAATGAAAAGAGCAGAATCATGCGTAATGGTTGAAGACCAGCCTCTTATTCTAAATCACCCTGTATATATTATAGCATTAATGATAAAACTACTCAGCACATACTATGTTACATAATGTTGGTACTCTCGGTAAATATGGTTACCTGTGAGACCATGAATCAGTAATAAATATTTGCATTGCAACTTTCTCATATTAGCTACCAAAGAAATGAAAATCTTTTATTACCCACTTGTTGAGTAAATCCTTCATATTGATTTTAGTGGTGTTCATGAAGTAAATAAATTATAGTATTTCCTAAAGAAATGAAAGAGTAATAAATTAATATCCGTTTCAATTATGATCTGAATATTGAAACCAATTGAAAAGAGAAAAGAAAATTTCTATGTGTTTTACCACTTTTATAAAAGTGGTAATTACATAGAAATTTTCATTTCTCTTTTCATTATGATTTCCTACCACGTAGTAACGGCTACATTCATCAATTTATTGAAATCAATTGATTTTCTACCTGCAATAATTTGCTACCTACGCAATAAGATAAGCATAGCATCACAGACAATATACCGGAACAACAGAATCGGAATCGCAGAACACGGAAACACAAAGTGTCTAAAGACAACTACGGTCTTTCATGCATTTCAGTAGATGAGCGTTGTCATATAAGCTCTTCATTTTAACAGTTCTGATAAGAGTGATGGGACATCTTCAGATGATTCGCCGTTTTTGTCAGTGTTTTTACATTAAAAAATATTAAATAATAGGTAGAATTGGAATATCTGGTGTAAATTAATTACAACTATAGCACTTGTTTCGACGCCCGTTTCGCTAACCAAGTTGGTATTATGAGGGAGTGACTAAAACTCGCATAAGGCTAAACAAGTTAGCATCATCAAGAAATGAGTCAAACATCATTATGAAATTATCAAAACCTGCAATATGAAGTGTACATTTTTTATTTAAATGAATAAACTTTTAGAATAACTGATTTCCATCCAATAATAACGCGTCTTTACGAAATTTTCCCTTTTTTCGATGCATTGCATCTCCTAAATCGAAATAAATTATCAAGAAGATATGGGGACTATTGAAAATTTTGACACTAATAGCATTTTGTCGCTTGTCAATGCATGCAATTTTAGAACTATTTTTTAATAACATTCATTGACGGCAAAATTTGTTTATCCCTACAAATGGTTTACACTACGCAGCGTATGATTTTTGTGTATATGTTACTATTTTAATATGTCCATATGAAGAGACTATTTTCGAAAGATGGCACTAGCGTCAACATATATACTTAATTAAGAAAAAAAATAAGGAAGTTATATATGTGCTAATACCAGAATAGAAAAATTTTATGTAATAACCAAAGTGAAATAATCTTAGTTTCACTGCAAATGATACATAATTACCTATTACCTCTAGGAATCAAACAAACACAATAATACCTAGTCAATTCTTGTTCTGTTTGTTTAGTCTTTGCTTCGGTGCACTAGTTAGTTTACACAAGATTCAACTTTTTATGGTTGTCTTTTCTATGGAAACGACAGCTGGTTGAAAGAGAAACCTATTTCAACCAGATTCCATAACTAATTCTGGCGTAGAGGTGGTAGTGCGGACAGTGTAGTCAAGTAGATTTTGCTTCATTACATGGCTGATGGGACTGCACACTATGATGATACTCTCTAGATGACTCAGGAAGATTTTAACATAGCCCACTCAAAACACGAGGCTAATAACCCTAGCAGTCGATGCGTTGACATTGAAAAAAATATTTGTATGTTTTGTGGTTACCGTTAAACCAGAAGTGGTTATTGGTACTGGTTGACATATTATTCGGACAGCATGATCAAAACTCATTAACTTTTTATAGAAGGCGTAGGTACTAAATATGGCGGCTTGAACAACATATACTCTCATTAAAACACTGTGAAGCACCCTATAAAGTATTCCGACGATGGGGTTGATTCAAAATTACCCTTTATGTTAGTAGGTATATTTTCCTATTACTTCCTATTACAGCACCATGAATTATTAGCTTATGATCGTTAATCCGACAACACCGCTTGTGGTACATACTTCTCTTACATGCTTCATTAGTACCTACTCACAGACCTAGTATAAGTTTACTGAACGTTTGTGATAGGTACTCAAGTTTTATACAACTGAATCAATTTCTATTATGAATAAATTTATCATATTCTCAAAAAAGTTTGTAATGCATAAAAATACTAATTATTAAATTTTTCATGTAATTTCATGACATTTTGTGAAATAATGTATTTGCCAGGTGAGGTCATCTGTTTAAAACTAATGTGTCATCATCAGAATTTTGGACTTCGATAGTATACATCAGAAGAGTGACTTCACGATCTTCAATTGTAAGTACTAATAATCTCGTAGATTACCTTCATGTCGTGAACCAACTTGTTACATCGTGGGTACCTACCTACCTCATTACTAAGGTGTCCATTTTATAAATATCTTTATTGTTTGTGATGTATAATGTGTATTATATTCACTATTATCCTATTATACATTATTTCAGTATGATTCCTTCTCAACTTTACAATGATATCTTTATTATAGATTTCGCTAAGTGTCGTTTCACCATCTATTATACAAAGGTGCAATCAGGAGGAATGCAGCCGCTAGAAGTACAACTAGAGGGCGTTGTAGAAGAAAGCTGTACTAGATGGCGTTTATCCTACTCGAGCAAAAAATACTGAATTTACTTCCAGTTTTATTTCCCATACTCGCCATTTTTTTTCTATTCATTTTGCTATATTTTCAAATTCATAATTTCATTGAAGTCTCAGATCCGAATAGAAATCGACCTTCGCTATCGGTTTAAAATTTACTTTTTATAAGACTTTACACATAGACTAAAACAAGACAGTCTATTTTCAGTGATAAACTTAGAAAGTGTCAATGTAAGATGTTTTTGTCATGTAATTAGAAAGTACAACTCATTCAAAATCATATATTCCTATCTATATATTATTCTATTTAATGTCACAATATTAGCTGGGCTCCATGTAGGTGCCGCAACTTTGGCATACTTGTCTATTACCATTGATTACTGGATGAATATGGACATCCAAATGCTTGTTTCTTTATACCGGTATAAACTTGTGAGGTATAAGCAGATTTTTTGTAGTACGCTCCCCCTCGGAGGGGTGCGTCCGACGTCCCTTATTTAGATAGGAAAAGTAGGTCGAGTGGCACCTTCACAACTCTGTTAAAAGAAAATTTTTGTAACGATTAGTTTTCGAGATAATTTGAAGTTAAAATTGCCATGTTAATAATACATTAAACAGACCACTCGGTAACTTGTATGCCTAAATAAAAAAAAATTCGAGCTGTTCTTATCAGTTTTTTCTTAAATAAAATCCCTTTTTTTAAAATCAATACCCACTCCTCTTCTTCCAGTTTTCATTAGTACATTGTTCGATTGTTTTGTTTAAACGGGTCGTGTATTGTTATTTGTTTAAAAATGCCTTACACTACTGCTGAAAGGGTTTCAGTTATTGCTTTATTTTTTGGCAACGACCAAAATGCTAATAGAACNAGGTTTGGCGTCTGGCCCTTGTGCTAATGGCATTGGAAGATGTTGCCTGTGTGAGTATATCCAATGACCAGCATAGATTTCAAAGTAAGATTATTTTCTGTTCTAGTCCAAGGGACGTGCGGCGACACATCTTCAAACAACAACACCTATTTTTTCAATAGCGGATACCCCAATACGGCTAACACAGCGGCTCAATGTATATTTACAATAATTCCAGAATCCCGGAATATATGTCAGGTGGGTGATAATTGGTTTTGAGTTTAAAGTACCACCTATACTGAAAAATTATACGAGTAGGGTGGCCTCTCTTCAGTCCACCCCCACTCCTCCACTTTTCGTTATTACCTAGTCGACCAATCAGAATGATCATTCATAGAACAACTCATAGAATTATGTGATTATGACCTTCATCTGAAAAAAAAAATTATGTGATGTTATATATACATTTTTTCCATGCCTGAAATATTTGGTAAACTATAAACACACAAATATATCTCATTTCCTATGATTTTCTGTGAGAAATTGAAAATGAGTATATTTCAATGAATGGAATTTCTTCATCTCTACCAATATATTCAAAACATTAGAGTGGAAATGTTCCATTTCCGTATCATTACAAACAGATGATAAACAAATATTTGCAGATGGAAGTTATTAGTAATCCAGAATAATGGTATTTCAAAGTTGTATCGAACACATCATTCCAAAAATACATTGAAGACCAATTATTTATCGTTTTTCATGAAAAGCCATATATATGTATAATCATCATTCTTATGCATCAGATATTCAGTAATATATGCAACATCATAAGTACGTCTTATATGAGACCAAAATGATAAAAATAAAGTGATTAAATAATGGTGAAGATAATGATTGATATTGTGTATCACTATCCTAGAAGTCCACTTCGATAACATTTGTTTTTGTCACTATTTTCACCGAACCTCGTTAGCTTAATGATAGGTAGATGGTAGGTTTGAAACGAACGGAGTTGATTTTCTTGTTAATGTCCATGATTATTCACAAAATTATAATAAATGACACTTCAGTTAGGTCACAATTGTATTTATAATCGTATTGATACTTTCCTTTTCAATGCATGTTCTTTGAGATGAAAATATGATGCTTTCCACCATACTCAAAATTCTCGTCACATTTTGTATGTAATTTTCGAAACGTAAATATAATTCAGATTATGGTTTGTTCATACCATAGAAATATTATAATGGAAATGTCATCATGACGCTGTCCATTATGATGCTATCTATTATTTTCAAAATGACATATTTTTTTTCGTGTAGAGGAAATGGATAAGTCAGATGGATTCCAAGACCAAAAAAATCAAAAAGTTTCCAACAAGCATTTTTTTAAAAAGAAAAAATTTTTCAGATAAGACTGGATTTTCTGAGTTTGGTATTAGCCCAACCCGACGGAAATGGCAACTGTGTAGACGATTCGATGATAATAACTGGCGCTGCATCTGTCGTTCCAGTGATTTGCGGTGAAAATTCCGGGCAACATATATATTTGACTGTTGATGGTACCAATCCAATTCAAATCGTCATCTCCACAGGAACTACTGTGACTTTAGGAAGAAGTTGGAACATCAAAGTTACTCAAATCGATTGTGACTGTCCAACGTTAGGTGAATTATATTTATAACATTCGTTCTCAAAAAAGCGGTTCATTATTCTCATTATTTGATTTTTCACAATTTTCAGAAGTTTTGACGATTTTGCAATGAAGTATGTTTCAGCTCCAATAGGATGTCTTCAGTATTACACAGAATTGACTAATACCGTCAATAGTTTCAATTATGGCAATGGTTTGAATGGGAACCTAGTAACACAAGCCGATGGTACAATTGTTGCAGGAACTAGACAAATCGCCAATCAAAGATATGGTATTTGTGTTGGAATGACACCAGGTGAGACAACTAACACAGGTTGAACATCATAAAATCTTCAGAAATGATCACCAGATCTTCAGAGTACTTTTATCGATCTCCAAATGACATTTCCAACCCATCATTCCCTTTTATAGATAATTTCAGCTTCAAATCACGATCAGAACTAAAGGATTCTGTTTGACAACACGAAAGTCATTGCCCCTAACCAGGAATACCATAGCCGACTGATACGAGAGACAATAAAGATCCACGAACACAGGGATAATTAAAAGAAGAAGAATCTGTGAATCTCAACCGAATANGATCTCAAATAGATCAATAATTTTAAAGTAATGAACTCCATATCTTATCCTCTGGCCTCTAGCTACCTATACAAAAAATTAACTTTTTGGGAGAAAAAAATTAACCCCTCACATTTCTAATAAATTATCTTTTCATCGTGGTGTCTGAGAAAAGTGCTTGTTTCGAACATTTCATGATACGGCATACAAAAAATACATCTAATCACATACAGTATTTGAAATTATGATGAAGAGGCTGTCAGTATTGAAGCTAGGACACCAGAACCGAAAAGTAAACGCTAGTCTTGCAAAAGTTTGCCGTGGGGACGTGGGGACCTTTGTTATTTTAGATAAACACGGTTTGGGTTGGATTCCATAGATGTCATCTTCGTAACCGGGGATGTCCATGCATACTTATAAAGGATGAGTCAGATTCCAAGGGGTACCTAATAATTAGGTTATTCTGAAGTCATCCTGGAAGACTTTGAAATTAAATAAGACAAAATACATGAAACACTAAAATACAAGATTGAAAATTCATGCAAAAAAATTAAAAGTAACTGATTGAGTACTCAACTTATATGACGTGGAATTAACCAAAAAAAAAAGAATTGTTATGCAATAAACAAGCCAATGATATTGTTGAAACATTTCAAAATAGGTAATTACTTGTGAATGTTTCAAATCTTATATTTACGGAATATTACACTCAATCTGCAGGTTAATCAAGGTTTATTTTCAATTTTATGAGAATTGTGAAATTTTTCTATACTCGAAGGGTGAGGGTCGGGATATCTGGAAGACTCGACCTGTAATAATTTCCGCCGAACTGCAAGGTTTATTTTCAATTATTTTGAGAATTGTGAAATTATTGGGTGAGGGTTGGAAAATTTTTCTGTTGGGTAAACTGGTCGAGATTCATGTCTGGGAATTTCTGCCGACTTGTCAAATGTATTTTCAATTTTATGAGAAATGTGAAATTTTTTCATAGTCAAAGGGTGGGGATTGAAACTTTTTTTGTCGAAAATGATCAACCTGGTCGAGATTCATGTCTGGGAGACATGACCTGCAAGATTTTCTGCCGACTAGCAAAATGTATTTTAAATTTTTTTAGAATTGTTAAATTTTTGGGTGTGGCTTGAAAATTTTATTTGTCGAAAATGAATAATCTGGTCGAGATTCATAAGTGGGAGACCCGACCTGCNCTTAGTTACTGAAACTGCAATATTTTTCAAAATTTAAAACCTGTGAATTTTTCAACCAGAGAATGAAATAATTCATTGAAGTGTTCTTTTAAGGGAGATAAGGGTTGTTTTTTTGTGAAAAATATTGTGACACTATTAAAAATACTCCAGTAATGAAAAGAGCAGAATCATTCGTAATGGTTAAGGACCAGCCAGCATTAATGATAAAACTACTCAGCACATACCATGTTACATAATGTTGGTACTCTCGGTAAATATGGTTACCTGTGAGACCATGAATCATAACAGTAATAAAAAGATTTGCATTGTAACTTTCTCATATTAGCTACCAAAGAAATGAGAATCTTTTATTACCCACCTGTTGAGTAAATCCATCATATTGATTTTAGTAGTATCCATGAAGTGGACAAATTATAGTATTTTCTAAAGAAATAAAAGAGTAATAAATTAATATCCGTTTCAATTATGATCTGAATATTGAAACTTGAAATCAATTGATTTCCTACCTGCAATAATTTGCTACAATAAGCAAGCATAGCATCACAGACAAGAATATACCGGAACTCTTGAATCGGAATCGCAGAACACGGAAACACAAATTGTCTAAAGACAACTATGGTCTTTCATGCATTTCAGTAGATGAGGGTTGTCAGATAAGCTCTTCATTTTAACAGTAGGTACTGATAAGAGTGATGGGACATCTTCAGATGATTCGCCGTTTTTGCCAGTTTTTTATATTAAAAAATATTGAATTAATAGGCAGAATTGGAACCTCTGGTGTAAAATAATTACAACTATAGCACTTGTTTCTACGGCCGTTTCGCTAACCAAGTTGGTATTATGAGGGAGTGATTAAAACTCGTGTGTTGCTAACCAAGTTAGCATCATCAAGAAATGAGTTAAACATCATTAGGAGATTATCAGAACCTGCAGTTTCGGTTATCTCCTGATGATGTTAACTTGATTAGCGAGACACGCGTCGAAACAAGTGCTCTGGTTCTGATTGCTGTTTACTTTGCGAATCAAAATATTTTTTGTAATATGGAGTTTTCATTTTTTATTTACATGAATGAACTCTAAGAATAACTGATTTTCATCCAATAATAACGCGTCTTTACGAAATTTTCCTTTTTTTTCGATGCACTGCATCTCCTAAATCGAAATAAATTATCAAGAAGATATGAGGACTATTGAGAATTTTGACACTAATAGCATTTTGTCGCTTGTCAATGCATGCAATTTTAGATTTTTTTAATAACATTCATTGACGGCAAAAATTGTTCAACCCTACAAACGGTTTACACTACGCAGCGTATGATTTTTGTATATATGTTACTATTTTAATATGACCATATGAAGAGACTATTTTCGAAACATGGCACTAAAGTCAACATATATACTCAATTAAGATAAAAAAAAGGAAGTTAGATATTTGCTAGTACTAGAATAGAAAAATGTTATGTAATAACCAAACTGAAATAATTCAAATGATACATAATTAGCTATTAGCTTATTCCGTCTAGAAATCAAACAAACCTCATAAGACCTGGTCAATCCTTCTTCTTTTTTTTAATCTTTGCTTCGGTGCATTAGTTAGTTCACGCAAGAGTCAACTTTTTAGGGTTGTCTTTTCTATGGAAATGACGTAGAGGTGGTAGTAAAGACAGTCTAGTCAAAGTACATTTTGCATTATTACATGGCTAATGGGACTGCAAACTATGATGATGCTCTCTAGGTGACTCGGGAAGATATTACCATAGTCCACTCAAAACACGAGGCTAATAACCCCAGCAGTCAATGCGTTGACACTGAAAAAATTATTTGTATGTTTTGTGGTTACCGTTAAACCAGAAATGGTTATTGGTTCTGGTTGACATATTTTCCGACAGAATGATCA